TTACATTCCTACTGGGAACATACATCTTTAAATGAAGGAAATAAGATTTACTGTATATATCACTGATTTTTTAAAAGGGAGTCAATCTTTTCCTGAAACAGTTGGGAACTGTAGTATATCTTATTTTAAACATTGCTAATACAGGTGTAAACAGTGTTAATTATGGAACAATTCATTGGCACATTGATACACATTTAGTATACTAGTGATTATTCATACAGTGGCATGCTATACCTGGGAAAAGGTTAAATACAGTGCTCATATTCAATTTGATCCAGTTCAACAGTGAATATAAAATATAAAATTATATTTTTTCCCCCTTTGGATTTGTTGACAATGAGAATAACAAAGACACACTGATATTAATGAATTCCCATTCATTCCAGGGGGCGGACAATGCAGAACCATTTCCAAACACATGACATCATAATTAGACGTTATAATCAGGGGTGAAAAAATACTGAAAGGCAATCCAGTACTAAATGTCAACCATTACGGACATTTCCCATGCCACATTTTCAAACACGTGAGCACCTGCAAATACCAAAGCTGCAAAACATATTCAGCTAACAATTAACTACTTAAGTTAATACATGATTCAGCTTAATCAGTGCAGAAATCTTCATGGCAGTCAGAATTTCTACAGTCGCATCACATCTGAACCATGATGATTTGTTTAGGGACATAGTGGTAGATATTAGTAAATGGGTGAGTAGATCACCACTCTCAAGGGGCTTTTAGAGTCAGGCAGCAGCTGAGATAGCCGTGTGTGAGGCGGTGTACCTCTGGAGCCTTCCTCTTAATCTGCCTATGCTGTGGAGAGCTTGACCCCGCCTGCACCCCTCTCCCCACCTCCCAAGGTTGCTCTGGAGTTGAAGAAGGAAAAGGAGGTGGAGAGGGCGTGGAGGGCGGGGAGGACTGGGGTGTCAGTGAGGGCGTAATGGGAGTGTACTCAGACTCAGAAGGTGTAGTGGTCTGTGACAGCGAGCCCTTGGAGTCCCATTGGTCCAGCCCCAGCATCTCATAGTCAGTCATGTCAAAATCCTTTTCTGTACCATGAAAAAGGTCAATGGAGGCGATAAACAATGTGAAAATCTTGTGTCTGGTCTACTGAATTGAAAGCAAAATAATTGACATGTTGATGCTTTGAAGTGGCCACTTCTTGTTTGGCCAACGGTGGATTTTGAAAGTGTTTATCACAACGCATTATAACTCTGCAGACCACACATCAGAGGAGAGATAGGAAGTTATTTTAAGCATGAGCCAAAAAAAAAAAACAGGCTCACAAGCCTTTGCAAATTAAGCCCATCTGTTCTTACGTCAGCTTGTCATGTTATGTAAAATGATGTCAGCAGAAAGCTAAATTATACAGTGTCAACATTGTTCAAACTGGGTTTTTAAAATGTCACTAGAGTAACAAATCATGTGATATGAGTTTATTTGAAATCTTGTCCACTAAGACAAAAATCTGCAATAAACTGATTATGAGACCTCCATTTTTTTTTTGATAAAATATTAAAAACATCAGTGAGCTGCATAGTTGTGCTGCTGAGTATGTTTCTATTTACCATGAACTACCGTGCACTGTAGTTAATCTGGACTCCATCCCACATGAAACAGAAGTGCTAATGTAGAAAATTCCTGCATACTCATAGAAATGTGATTTCTTGTTGTTGTAAAGCAATGGGTTCTGGGTGGAGAGTAACAACATATACTGGGTGTGGAAAGACGCTGACTTAAACATGTGAGTTCATTGGATCTGTTGTCAGGAATAAAAGAGATGAATTATCATGTGTGGTAAATTTTCACTGTTCTATGAAAAAAACAATCTTAAAAAAAAAATATATATATATATATATATATATATATAAATATATATATATATAATAATGATGATGTAACACTTAACCTTAAATAAGTCAAACCCATTAATTAATGAACCATTAGAGAAGGAATCTCAATTCCTTGTTTGATGAAAAAGAAGTGGTACAGATGTTTCAATCCAATTAGCTAGTTGTGTCTAAATTTATCTACCAAGAAATGATCAGCTGAGAAAAAAAAAAAAAACACCATACCAAGATAAAAACAAACAACAACTGTTTTCACATGATGTTACATGTGGGGAACAAATCCCCCCCCAGCTACACGTGAATTATATCACAGGATGGTTTGCCTGGCAGACCTCTGAGGCTCGGCCTGCTCCAAACAGGAAGGCAGGACTAAGGTTAGGGGGCCGCTCAGGAAAGCAGGGGTACGAAACAATATCTGTCAGCTTAAACAAGCTTGAACAGGAAGACAGAAATCTACGTCATGATCAGATTGACACAAACAACCTGGGCACTTCTGTAGCATCACAATGGTTCCATTACAGCTTGTGTTTCCAAACGCTATGTTACACCTTTATTTAGGTTTCATCACAAAATAGATCCATACTTAATAGTTTTCATTCTTGACGTTACTTTAAACTTGCTGCATTATGTCAGTCTCAACAACAACTTTTGAGTTCATGCACAGTACAGAGAGAAATCTGCTCACCCTTGTTGTAGCTCTCTGACTTGCTGCGCATCATAGATCTGGTCCGATGCTGTCCTGCTGCTGCCGCTGCTGCTGCTGCTGCAGGCTGCTTGGTGCCGGGAGCTGTGTTAACAGGCTCTTCCTGATAGGAAGCCAGATCCTGCATGCTGAAACTCCTCAGTCTGTCTGACAGGACCCCTTGGCTCTAGAACGAGGAACAGTGGGCTTCATTTAGACTCAGGAGCAACGTGTGACAGAAAATGGATGAATATACTCCAGAAGTTAGGTCGGAAATTTGAAAGACTGCTTTCATTGTAATGCATCTGACTCATGAAACACGATACAGCACCACCTAGACTTTTCCAAAATTCATTTTGAAGCCTGCCAACTTCTAATTGTAATAAATAACTATTTTTCCCAAACTGAATTATTGTATCAATCTATTAGATTATTAACCCAAGACGCCAGATTTTATTTTTATATTCTTGTTTTCAAAATAATCTGACATAATCATTTCAAAAAATCCCCCGTACAGAAAATATTCTTGGCATTGAAGTGAGCCCATTGTGTAATTGCCAGTTATCTTTTTCTCTTATAATTCATTGGTTGTTTTTATTTTGTTTGGTTCTTGCCAAACTAAATCCTTTTGTCTTGAGGATTGTCTTAAAGACCTATTCAGTACAAATAAAGGTTGGGTGACTTTATTTTCTCAAATTTAACAATATGCTACTGGATTATTTAAATAAAATTCACAAACGACATAACGGGCTTGGCACCCCTAAACACTGACCCTCTACTGTACCCCCATGTCAATACAAAGCAAATGCCCACAGTCTGCGTTACCTTTGTTGCTGCCATGACTGCAGCTGTGGCTGCAACATTCAGCCCTTTTCTCCCAAAATGCACCAGTGTGTCATAGCTTTTGTCCTTCGCTTGGCAGATATACTCGTCAATATCCTGAAACAAGCACAAAAACATTAGAAACATTGTGTCCATTAATGTCAAATTGTATTTTATTTCTCATTATTTATTTATTTTTCATTTTATGTAACATGTTGACAGGTTGTTCTGATAGTGCTCATGGCTGCAGCTTCATTGAATTGTGTTGTTGTCACTCGTGTGTTTTCTGAGTCAGACAGAGGAAAAAGGAAAGGAGAAATGCAGGAACACCATGACATTTCCTGTCCTCTGTCCTGCAAACACATCTTTAACCCCTAAAGTGGAAAAGTGAATTGGCACAAAGGCCTTTTTGTTCCCAAGATAGCAGTAAATTCTATTAGTCAAGAAACAACTTGACTTAGACTGAATATGTTCACCGGAGCCTCTTCTTGAACTGCGCCAGTACAAGAAAGGGAGATGCAGCACAGAAAAATGTGTCACCTTTTCTTTTGAGGAAAGCGTGGGATGAACAAACTTCCTGTATAGCACACTGGAGCCTTTGGTGTAAGGGGACAGCAGCCACACCACAAAGGCTATCTTCAGTTCATAGTAGAAAGGAATCCTGCAAAAAAAGATGCAAAAATAATGGAACTGGTACAGCTAAGCATAAAAAAACAGCCTTTACAAATCAGTGACAGTTTGTTATGTCATATAAACAAAATAGAGAAAAAGAGGTCAACTGTTTTACGTCAAGGGTCTGTATAATTATTAACATTGGATATCAGAGGTCTCTTACCAACAAATAAACATATCTGTAAATACTTCCACAGCAGTAAATAGGGCAAATATGATCCAGTACATCATCCATTTCACCTGAAACCAAATGGAACAGAAAGAGTTCAAGTTAACACGCTACAGAATTACATTTGTGAGGAATTAACCGCCTGATATAATTTCACATCTGAAAGTCACAATGATATACTCACATATTCCTTTACATCTTTTGACTTCACGGCTTTATAGGAGGAGTATGCAGGATAGAGTGTACCAAACACAAGTCTACAAGACACAAAATACGATCATGAGCCTCCAAAAACTAAACATGTCTCAAAGCAGTCAAATTGATATTTAAAATGTACAGGGAAGCAGATCAATGAAAAGCATTTTAACAACACTATAGTATGAGTAAAACCTATATTTCTAATTATGGATTCTGAAAATGTAGAACTTTTCTGTCCTCGTAAATCCAATTTTGCTTCAGTTCATAAATTTACACAACGAATTTCTGGCCATGGGCTATCTGTCTGAGCAGCATTCTTTATAAATAAATTGTTAGTGGCAGGTTGTCTTGTGAGATCAAGGTTTAAAAAAAAAGGTGCAACAGCTTTTCCCTTCCAGAAAGAATAAAGTTGGACCTTGCTCTGGCTTTCTTGACAAGACAAGCTGTCCGTTGGGCTAAAAGTCCACAAAAAGAGCTAAACTTAGCATACATGTGTTTTATTTAAACGTGTGTTGTGTAATGTATACACCTGTGCTGCTTGGCTGTGTGTCCGGCCTGAGACAGGGCCCTGTGGAAGAGCCTCAGCCAGGCAACAGCTGTGAGTGCGACCTGATCAAATTACTGAACCCACATCATGTTGCACCTCTGACTGTGCTCTAACACAGTTTGGAGACACAAGGACACTAAAAATACCATCAGTGGGGTAAACGCTAAACCCTTCACTTCAAGATTGGGCGAAAAAATAGCCCGTAGAGCCTACATATTTTACTGCAGAGCTAAAGCTGTAACAGTCCTGCCTTTGCAAACAGACCATGTATCTAATTTTAATTGCCTCAGTATTTAGAGGTTGGGCCTGCTGTGTACACTCCACATGCTCGGCAATGGCGCTGATTCATACTTTGTGCAGGTAAAAAATAGCAATAACTTACAGTAATAAATGCTGTCATATTGTCACATTTTATTTTAATTCCGAGCTGTGAAGGATAAATGCATACATGTCTTAATACATAAGTAGCTCTTGTATTGTAACCGGAGAAGCCTGACCCATCCCTTTTGTTTTGTTTTTTTTACAATCTGGGACATCAACAGAGCATATAGCTGCTCTCACAGATCGCTCCTGTTGTTCTGTTACCTCGCCTCACTGTGACATTTAGCTGTGGGGCAGTAAAAGACGCCCCTGAATCTTGAAACTGACTCTTTTTGATCATTTCATTGAAGATGAGAGATTATTCAGTCAATCGCGTCAACCTCTTTGTCTGAAATTTAAAGAATAAAAAAATAAAAAAAACACCACTTGAAATACAAAGAGTGCATGGCGCTGTTCAAGAACACAGCAGGTCCACCACAGGCCTTACTCAGCGTTTCTTCTGTTACAGCAAAGTGCAGTTGTAAGGAATGCAGGTTATTTTACAGAAAATTATAAACCGACATCTGCTCCGCTTCCACACTGACGTCTGTTTTCGATCCAATATCAGACAAATTGCGGGGGCATGTAAAGCGTGCCGCTCCTCCACCGCCAATGAGCCGCACAAATACCCGCACTAACCCTCATAAATAACACATCCAATGTAAGGGATCATATGCATAGAAATAATAAAAATGACTTACACCACAAGTCTAGAGATGATCCAGGAGACCATTGCGCTGGAAAGGCGACGGGACGCGCTGTCTGTAGGGAGGAGTTTCCTCCAGTAGATGACAGGCGCGTCCCGGCGGCAGCGTGTGGACGCACACAGGAGGCAACGTGATGCGCGATAAACAGTGAGGGGAGTATGACTCTTATCCATAGATGGCAGTGTTGCATTGCTCAGACAACAAAGATACACAGCATACTGAAGTGGTAAAAGCTGAGTCCATGTTTAGATGTGATAAGTGGACTGGATTCCCTGATTCACATGGTGGACTTGGGAGTGAAATATCTTCTGCGTGAACATTTTAAGGGAGAGTTTGTAAGTTCACATTTAGCTCAAAGTGTAACTCAAAGCATTAATACTTGCCCAGATAACAAGAGACAGCACTGAAATGATCACTTGGTGTTATGTTTTTCTTAGTTGTTTTTTTTTAATTAAACACAACTTTAATTAGAAAGTCCAACCTTTTGAGTTTAGGTACTTAGGTACCCCAAACTCTAAAGTTACCGTGGTATAAAGCAGAAAAACAGAACATCCTCACACCAGAGGAGATGAAACTTAAGACTAGGCACTGGTTTTCAGGCAATTACTTGGAGTATTATTAAATAAATTGGCAAATTATTCCAATTATGAGTTGACTTGTTATTGCATCACATCTACTTTGTGAATTTTGTGGCGTTTGAGGCCCCTGGTACATTTGTCTGATTAGCTGAATAAATCTGGATTTTGTTTTGTAATGGGGAAAAGTAAGATGATTCAAGTGTCATGACGACACAGTTGTTTGTTTAACGAGGTCCTAGCTGTCATGTTAAGAAGAAACTACAAGTGCATACCTCTTAAACACACTCACAGTAAAAATGTGCCACATCTGAGACTAATACCATCTAATGTTTGAATTAAGCTGACCTGAAAAGATGTATTAGCTTCAACAGCTGAGTTAAGTCTCCATTTTCCTTGAGTATTGAAGGAAATACCCACAACAGGATGTTGACAAAAAAGTGGAAAATAATGATTGACTCTAACTTGCTCCATTAGTGCTAGATTACCTTATCTTTGTTTTGAGTCTCCATGGCCTACATACTGAAGCCAGAGAACAAAGGCAAGGTTGAAAAGCTGCAGAGAGGGCTGTGGCTGGTAGAAATCTAATCCTTTTGTCCATTTTGAAGTCAGGGAGAGGCTTTAAAAAAAACACAAGGCCCAACAGGAAAATGTCCAAAATGCAGCCTCAGAAACCTTTACAATTCTTCCTTCTTAAAAAACAAAAAAAAAACAGACTACAAAAAAAATCCACACAATGTGTTCTCCGTCCATCATCACAACTTTAAAAGGCCGGAAATGAATCATTTTGACATACTGTGTTAGTCATACACGTGGCACTTGAATATTGGTACATTCAAGTTTCTTGAACTGTAGAATGAAAAAGCCTACTTTCCCATTTATTTAACAATTTGCTGTTCAAACTGTCTGGTTTTGGAGCTGTTGAGCCAGGTGTTTGATCAACCAAGACTCTACAGTGATTCTATTGACTCTGAGTAGTCTCCTTCCTAAAAACCTTCTCCTTATACGAATCTACAGTATCTCACAAAAGTGAGTACACCCCTCACATTTCTGTAAGTATTTCATTATATATTTTCATGGGACAACATTGAAGAAATGACACTTTGCTACAATGTAAAGTAGTCAGTGTACAGCTTGTATAACAGTGTGAATTTACTGTCTCTTCAAAATAACTCAACACACAGCCATTAATGTCTAAAATGCAGGCAACAAAAGTGAGTACACCCCCTAAGTGAAAATGTCCAAATTGGGCCCAAAGTGTCATTATTTTGTGTGGCCACCATTATTTTCCAGCGCTGCCTTCACCCTCTCTTGGGCATGCAGTTCACCAGAGCTTCACAGGTTGCCACTGGAATCCTCTTCCACTCCTCCATGACGACATCACGGAGCTGGTGGATGTTAGAGACCTTGCGCTCCTCCACCTTCCGTTTGAGGATGCGCCACAGATGCTCAATAGGGTTTAGGTCTGGAGACATGCTTGGCCAGTCCATCACCTTTCCCCTCAGCTTCTTTAGCAAGGCAGTGAGTGGTCGTCTTGGAGGTGTGTTTGGGGTCATTGTCATGTTGGATTACTGCCCTGCGGCCCAGTTTCCGAAGGGAGGGGGATCATGCTCTGCTTCAGTATGTCACAGTACATGTTGGCATTCATGGTTCCCTCAATGAACTGTAGCTCCCCCAGTGCCGGAAGCACTCTTGCAGCCCCAGACCATGATACGCCGACCACCATGCTTGACTGTAGGCAAGACACACTTGGCTTTGTGCTCCTCACCTGGTTGCCGCCAACCCTAACCCTAACCCACATGCTTGACACCATCTGAACCAAATAAGTTTATCTTGGTCTCATCAGACCACAGGACATGGTTCAACCTCTGCAGCAATGCTGGCAGCACTCATACGTCTATTTTCCAAAGACAACCTCTGGATATGACGCTGAGCATGTGCACTCCACATCTGAGGTCCACCATGGCGAGGCCTGTTCTGAATGGAACCTGTCCTGTTAAAACGCTGTATGGTCTTAGCCAGCTCAGTTTCAGGGTGTTGGCAATCTTCTTATAGCCTAGGCCATCTTTATGTAGAGCAACAATTCTTTGCCATGAGGTGCCATGTTGAACTTCCAGTGACGAGTATGAGAGTGAGAGAGTGACAACACCAAATTTAACAGTCCTGCTCCTCATTCACAACTGAGACCTTGTAAAACTAACGAGTCACATGCCACCGGGGAGGGAAAATGGCTTATTGGGCCCAATTTGGAAATTTTCACTTAGGGGGTGTACTCACTTTTGTTGCCTGCGTTTTAGACATTAATGGCTGTGTGTTGAGTTATTTTGAGGGGACAGTAAATTTACACTGTTATACAAGCTGTACACTCACTACTTTACATTGTAGCAAAGTCTAATTTCTTCAATGTTGTCCCATGAAATGATATAATACAATATTTACAGAAATGTGAGGGGTGTACTCACTTTTGTGAGATACTGTACGTAAAAAGAACTGTCTGTTGTTGTGGGGAAGGGATAAATGTTATGAGTGATAACCAGTGTGATGCATTCTTCTGATCGACAACCGTTGTTCTTAAAAGTTTATTTCCATATTTTGTCCTCATTCACACAGAAAATTATACACACAATACTTCCACAATACATAAGTTCTTCACTAACCAACCTTTTTCATTTTCTCTGCATCCTCCTGCTTAGAAGGAACTGAACTGTGACACAAAGTCAAACATTTATCAAGCTAAATGTAGGTGCAAGACAGCGGGGTTGAGTAGTATGCGTGAATTTTTCTGATGAGCGTAAGACCACGTATAGAACAGACACATTGTGACAGTACAAAAAACAAGAACTTTCAAAAGAGAAATCCACACATCAGCTCTAGTGTCTCAGATAATGTGGACTGGTTACCAGTAAACAGAATCGCTGTTGCTTACTTAATGTTTCCAACAGATTAGAACAGTTGCTAACTTGTATTCTAGTATTTGATTTGCATGAAGGGTGGCTTCCTTCAACAGTTTTTTGTATCACTTTTTTGTATCATTAATACCAAAGCAGCTCCACCACCAGTCCATAACTTAGGACAAAAGAATATGATGACGCACTGTAGGCACAGCAGGCTTTTCATACTTACATTATATACACGTTCTTAAACCTTCTATTTGACTTTGGATAATAAAGACTTACCTAGGTTTACCCTAGATAATAAAGACAAAAGCATAAACACGTTTTCTTCAGGCTGAGTGAACCACACAATCTATAGAAGAATAAAAAAACGTTTTAAAGATATTAACTGTCAGAGCACGATGTTAACCCCAAATGATTATGAAATAGTAATTATAATATGAAGCAGAGAGGATGCTCAGTACTGTCAAACCTGCACCAAAAAATGTCTCTGTCCTTCTTGGAGTGACAAACTGACTGGAACAGAACAGTGGCAGAACCTTAGCTCCTCAGAGCTGCCAATCTCGACTGCATCGCTTCAATGTCCTCGTCCGGCTCTTCGTCTGAAGCTGCAGTGGCTCCAGGCGGCTCCATATCAGGAAGGGCGTCTGTGACTTTGCTCGGCGCTTTGCCAAGGGCACCTAAATAAGCAAACAGAACAGTTTAACAGAACTTTTGGTTTTAGTCAGTTGTGGTAAAGACCTAAAGACACAAAAACCATCCAACAAATCAGGGACAGGCAGATGTATAACTAAATATAACAATTTGCTTTACCTGCTGTGATTTCAAAAAGGATCTTGTCAACCTCTGCCTCTGCTGCTTCCTCCATGTCCTCTCCATCTTCCATGCTCTCAAATGTGTCCTCCAGCATTTCCTCAATAATGCCCGCCTGAAATATTGATATACATTATGTCCTAATGTATCACCTTTTTCTAGAATAAATAATCTTGGATGGTAACCTGTGTTAAGCACAATGTTGCACTTTTTTTGCATTAGACTGACTCTTAAGAAAATGTGTTTATATGGACACTAGTGCTGACCTTCATCATTTCCTTCGATAGGTCCCTCATGGTGGCCTGGATCTCTGGGATTTTGACGAGGTTCTGCATGGCTTTCATCACCTCTGTGCTCTTCTGCAGCGACCCAGCTACACGTACTACAGCTAGAAAGACACAAACACATTCTCTTTCACTGACAGTCCTAAATAAAAAAAAATAAAGCTCTATTATTAAAACAAATTGTTTAGAGTTAGGTTAGCAAAGAACTAAACATGTTCTATTTTTCATTCCTCGCTTGTTCTGACCCTTCGCCTTTACTGAAAAACTCACCAAGTTGATTGTTCATGCTGAGAACAACGGAGTTCATTTGAGCTTTGGAAGCGTGAAGTTTTGAGATAGCTCGCTTTGACTGAATCATCTCCTTTGCAAGAATCACACACACATCCTTCTGGCCCTTTTTGGCTGCATCTTTTATGGATCTTTTCACTTTCTCTTGTTCTCTTTGAATATCTGAAACAAAGTCACATGCATTTAAAAATAAAACAGGAAAACTAATACAGCAACAATTATGGAATTGGCTCTTGCGTTGATAAAATCAAACAAATCTTTGCATCTTAAAGAGGGATTGTCTTTCGTGTGAAATTTACTTATACGAGAAATCAGTACTTATAAGTCATACTTTTAAATAAAGATAAAAACTAACCATGAAACTTCATTTACATAAATGACAATGTAAAACTTATCATCGATCAATCAAACTTTATTTATATAGCACCTTTCAGACAAATTAAATTGCAGTTCAAAGTGCTTAACAAGAGTACAGAAAAGTTATTGACGAAAAGCAGTTCATAAAATCATTGATAAAATCATTGAGAGACCAATACACACCAATAAGAATTGAAAATAAAATACATGTATAAAAATAAAATACAATAAAATACGACACATAAAAGCAACATGATATTAAAATAAATACATAAGAAAATAAGGAAAATATTTAAAATTGTAGTAGGATAAAAAGAGAATTAGCACCTGTTCAGTTTAAGAGATCTTACCTCGAATTTGTCTGTCAATCATTCTCATTTCCTTCTTGATCTTTTTAGACCACTCGCTGATCTGAAAAGATTCATGAGGCTTTTATTACAAACTGCAATGCTGTCATTTGACTTAAAAATTACAGTCCGACAGTAAAGCGGCACAATGTCGCCTGTAAAAATCACAAAAATTATATTTATTACCTTTTTACAACTAACGCTGATCTGGGGAAAGCCAGCGACGCAAACACAATCAGGGTTTGTTTACACTGACAGCTGACTAGTGTTATCTTCTGTGCTAACAAACTAGCTCGTAGTAAACAGAACAAGACAGAGTGGTCTTGAAAGAGCAGAATATATAAACATAGAGCTTTCATTTAACTGGACTTACGTCAGCCTTTAGGTGAACAACAAGTAGCAACAGATTAACCAACTAACGCCTGGCTGAGTTGAAAGCTAGCATTAGCCACGTTAGCTGAAGTCGCGTTCATGTTATTCCTCTTTACGGATAAAAAGCCGCAAAGACATCCTTTAATTGTTACAGTCAGTACTCACTAGCTCTTTTGGGGGTTTATCCGGTGTTCTGCCGAAAAGACCCATTGTATCTGCCGAGTTAAATAACACGCTAACCTATCTGACTACAACTGGCTGGCTAGCTGAGCGAGTACTAGCAGCCACTTCCTGTTTGATCACGCCCAGGGCCTTCGGGCTGAGTTCCAACATGAAGGAACGTTCAGTCCATCTGGTCCTCATCAAGGAAACAACAACAACAAGTGTTGAAGTCAAATCGAAATCGAACCAGCCGCAAGACTAATAAAATGAGGAGTTTATTATTATTATTATTATTGTTATCATCAAATGTTAAGGATTTCACATCAGAGATAATGAATTTAAAACCAGCCAAACCATTTTTTTTCACTTACCAATGTTCAATTTCGTTTTAATTTACATACTTTATTCATCCCTGATGGACATTGTGGTTTACACTTTGTTAGTGAGACATGCTTCTCACACACATAGGCCTGAAATACCCAGATGCACATCTAGGCTACAGGACCTGTGGACATGCATTAAAGGAGAGATGTCAGAGTGGGGCTGCTACATACACAGTGAGCACACCAGAGCTGTTCTGTGCCTTGCTCAGGTGCACCTCGGCAGTACTCGGGAGGTGCTCTGCAGCCACCAGACCTACTAGCATATGGGTCTTGATCCGGCGACCCTCTGATTCCCAAACCAAGTCTAAAGACTGATACTGCTGCCCCAATTTTTAAAATGCCTATAAAGATAAAAGTTACGATTTCCCCTTATTAGGCTATGCATGCATTATTTTTTATAAATTTATTTTGACTGCTTGAAATAAGATCAAACTGATTGAAATAAAGAACATGTTTAAGTATTTTTCTTTAGATTCCAGTTTATCAAATTACATTGAATTAATTTTAATACGTGTGTGTATTTTATATATGCAATTACAGCTTCAGAGAATCCGACATCAACAGAAAAAAAGGAAAGAAAATGATACATATCAAATATGTAGGCTACATAAATGTGTGGAAATATACAGGAATGCTGGCCACCAGTCCAGAATAATTACATTATTATGTATTTCATTTTTACTTGATTTATTTATTGTAACAAGAATTGCCTAGATACATTTTTTAATTATAGATGTTAAGTCATATGCGTTCATATCATAGACTGTGCATATTGGTTCATGTGAGCAGACCACACCTGACCCCCATGTGACTTTTTTCCCCCCCTTTTTTGAGGCTCAAAGGCGGTTCTTGCTTTCAAGCTGTTCTCCAATCCTTCCTGGCCCCAGATACTAATCAGATATTTGTAAAGCTGATTTCTTAAGATACGTAATTTGCGTGCAAACATCTTTAAGTGCGTAAGACTGGAATGGAGAAACTTAACCTGACAGGCTTTATTTAGGGCAAATGTGTCTGTTGAAGCCATAGACTGTAAATATATTTATCTATTTTTTTCAAGAGGTATGAAAAACAGTCATAAGACAAATCATTCCATAAAACAGACAGTAAATATTAGTACTGCTGTCCCACTCGTGACGTCTTTAACAGTCCCCCTTTCTATGGGTTTCTAGATTGTTCTGTTATCGATTGGTTATCGTACCAATCAGGTTAGGACAATGGGTGTGACGTAGCCAGTCATAGACGTCAGGGGGCGGGCTTTAGAGCATCCGACGCTCAGAGGCGCTTGGGTGATGCTACGGCTGCCTTGGAGTGGGTGAATCCGCGCTGGACACCATTGCTCCGTGGGATTACTCTGAATGAGTTTGCTATAAACAGCTTGACTTACATAACAGCTCGTAATTCAGTGAGTGCTTCCTCAGCTTGCCGTCTTATTTGTTTCCAGAACAGAGGATTCGCTTTCTTACATTTTATTACGGAGCATTGTATATATATATATTTTTTCTTCTCAGAGGTGCTGTGCGGTCGCTGCGTAGGGCAACTTAGAAGAGGTGACTTTAAGAGCACTCATCATGTCAGTGGTAGGCATTGATGTGGGTTTCCAGAATTGCTACATCGCAGTTGCCAGGAGCGGCGGCATTGAAACCATCACCAATGACTACAGTGACAGATGCACACCGTAAGTAGAAATTTTGACGAGCATCATCCCCGTGAGATGTGGTCAGGCTGCGAGTTTGTTACGCAATGTTTGCAACTGGAGGCGCACTGGCTGAGCTGTGATGGTGTAGACACATCAGTAATGCTGCTGCTGCAGGTTGTGATGAGGCCTGTTACTATTGCTTTATTCAGCGTCACAGCGGGGTAACGTAGGTCAAAATGTCTCATACGAAATGATTGTTCTTATAAACAGACAGCTGACATGCCTCCTGATGACCACCACAGGGCTGCGCAGTGCGCCTTTAACTTGCCTGAGATAAGACATTTAAGAAGACAAGATGGTATTTCCATTTTATAAAAAATAAAAATAAAAAAAATTGTGTGATATTATGCTGTATCTTTTAAAGGAAAATATGTAGATTTTGTCATCACATGGCCATTGTTGTCTTTCATTGTCGGCCGAAACAATCATACTTACAGTACAGGCCAGGTCAGGAGGATTGTAAGGGAATTAAATCCCATTTCCACCATGTATCATTATATTTTTTAGGATATTAAATTACTTATATCTCAATGTTAAGAATTTAACATCAAGCTCTTTTGTGGCACAGGTATATAAAGTAGGTACATCTGCTGCAGCATCCTGCATAAAAGGGAAGTGCTCACGGGAAAGTGAAGAGCATTGCACCTTTAGTGACTGTTTGAGGCAAGGTGAAACTAAGGAGAGATTTATCACTGTGAAATTCATCCCAAAACCCTGTGTGCCAAGAAGCACTGATATTGGGTAGTTAACACAATGAAAGTCTGTGTAATGAGGAGTGTGGGAGATGGAGTTTTTTAAAGAAAAGAAAAAAAAAAGGACATATTTTGATGAAGGTAAACTGTTCCATCTCCCTGCCCTAGTTTGTGCTTCTTTCTCAGACTCCCTTGTGAAATTTCCTTAATCGAAATCTGCCTCCGTGCCCTGGACGTTTGATTCTGTCTGCAGCAGTCAGACAATTACAGTTCTGCTTGTCTGGAAGGATTATTTCTGTTGTAGCCTTCCTAATGTGCTGATGTATTTGTCTTCCAACTAGGGCTTGTGTGTCTTTGGCCTCCAAAAGCCGCATGATTGGAAATGCAGCCAAAAGTCAAGTAAGAGTATACCAAATTGACTTATTTTTGTTATAAGGGCAATATTAAAAAATTCATTTACATGTATAAAAAAGTTTTGTCATGCAATCTTATTTTAGGTCATTACCAACTGCAAAAATACAATTCATGGCTTCAAAAAGTTCCACGGAAGAGCGTTTGATGACCCATTTGTCCAAGCGGAAAAACCCAAACTGCCTTACAGCTTACATAAACTGGCGAATGGAAACACAGGAGTTAAGGTGAAGCACTGTACAAACGTCCAGAACTATCTGTGTTCTCCCCTTTGTCTCTGTCACTGACCATTTTTGCTTGCATTGCACACTTTTGTTATTTTAAGTCAGCCATGTCATTGTTTTTTTTTCCTGTTTTTGTTCCATACAACCTTTTCCATTTCATGCTCAATATGCAATACATGACATCTTAGCAAGAGACCTCCTCACTGTATCCTGTTTACAGGTGCGTTATTTGGACGAAGACAAAGTGTTCACAGTGGAGCAAATCGCAGGGATGCTGCTCAACAAGCTGAAGGAAACAGCAGAGAGCGCACTGAAGAAGCCTGTGGTGGACTGTGTCATATCTGTGAGTGACAATAAAAAAAAATCACGGAGGACCATTTAAATAATGTAGAAAGAAGTTAAATGAAACATAATAATTTGTGCTTTCTTTTACAGGTCCCAGGTTTTTTCACTGATGCTGAAAGACGGTCTGTGTTAGATGCAACTCTAATCGCAGGGCTCAACTGTTTACGGCTAATTAATGACACAACTGCAGGTCAGATTTCCTAAGAAAAATACAAATGCTTTTTTATTTGACACTAACCTTGGGTCAGGGGCTGAAAATGTGGTAAAATGTGATTTTACCCTTTACTTTTATAAGTAGATTAAATAACATATAGCTTGTATATGTCTGACTGTAGATGTCTTTCTTCTAAACAGTGGCTTTGGCCTACGGGATCTACAAACAGGACCTCCCCACTCCAGAAGAGAGGCCAAGAAATGTGGTATTTGTGGACATCGGACATTCATCGTTCCAGGTCTCCATCACTGCCTTCAACAAAGGCAAACTCAAGGTTAGCCTTTTTAACCTTTTTACATCGCCACCCACAGCTACACCCGGTGCCTTTGAACCCAAAAGGCTCAATGTCAAATCTGCTCTGTCAGGTCTTGGCCACTGCGTTTGATCCATACCTCGGTGGGCGCAATTTTGATGAAGCGTTGGTCGATTACTTCTGTGAGGAGTTTAAGGTGAAGTACAAGCTCAACGTGAGGGAGAACCCGAGGGCTCTGCTGCGGCTGCACCAGGAGTGCGAGAAACTGAAGAAGCTGATGAGCGCCAACTCCTCTGACCTGCCTCTGAACATAGAGTGCTTCATGAATGACATTGATGTTACAAGCAGGATGAACAGGTGCATGTTCTTTTTTCTCATTCATCACTCCTGATTAAAGAGGAAATCCAGCATTATTTACATTTTTCTCCCAATTTTGTAACCCACAGGGGCCAGTTTGAAGACATGTGCTCTCAATACCTGATGAGAATAGAGACGCCGCTGAAAACAGCTCTTGAACAATCAAGTACTTCCCTAAAATCTGGTTAAATTTATGAATGCATATTGTTTGAATGCTACATATTGGAAGAATACACTCGGTTCTGTGTGTGTTTGTCCCGTTCAGAGCTGAGCCGGGATGATATTTATGCAGTGGAGATAGTTGGAGGAGCCACGAGAAGCCCGGCCATCAAAGAGAGAATCTGGAAGTTTTTCGGTAAAGACATCAGTACCACGCTTAACGCAGATGAAGCTGTCGCTAGAGGCTGTGCGCTCCAGGTCTCTCTCCTATCTTTAATCTTGTTTCAATGTACTTGAAATATTGTGAGGTTGTTCATCGATAAAACAGACGGTAATTATATACTGTATTTTTTTTGTTTTGGGTTGCAGTGTGCTATTCTGTCTCCAGCCTTTAAGGTGCGTGAATTCTCCATCACTGATGTGGTTCCCTTTCCTATTACTCTTCGCTGGAAAACACCATCAGAGGATGGATTGGGGTGAGGACATCTTAGCTATCTAAATTTGCCAAATGAGACACTAACACTTGATACAACAAGGGAATTACTCCTCTGTAGTCACAAGTGGTCAATCAAGCTAGGTAAGCTAGCTTTAAGATACAGCATTTACTGACTTTACCTTCCTTTTCTCCCTCACTGTGTCTTTGTTGCAGAGAGTGTGAGGTGTTCAGTAAGAATCATGCTGCTCCGTTTTCCAAAGTGATCACCTTTCACAAGAAGGAACCCTTTGACCTTGAAGCCTTCTACAACAGCCCTCAAGATCTGCCCTACCCAGACCACAGGATAGGTAATTATACTTACCTTCAATCAGAAAGTCAGACATGCACTCCAAGAATGCAGGATGCAAAACTAAGCAGGAGATCTGTCCTTTGCCAGCTGCAAAAGTCTAGAAGAAGAAGTGATTGAAGCACAAAGTAGATTTTTGGGTCACGCATTTGCAGACGAGTCCCCACAGGGATCTGGATCCCAAGATGGGATTGTGGACTGAGAGAGGAACATGTTGGAATAACTGTTTCCGAATAATCTGTTTGCAGGATGTTTCTCTGTACAGAACGTTGTTCCCCAGCCAGATGGAGACAGCTCTAAAGTGAAGGTCAAAGTGCGAGTGAACGTCCACGGTATCTTCAGCGTGTCCAGTGCCTCCCTGATTGAGAAGCAGAAAGGAGAGGGGGAGGACATGCAAATTGACTCGGAGCCAATGGTGCAAAATGAAGGCAGGCCAGAGGACCAGGTGAGAGGATTGTTGTTGTTTTTTTTTGTTTGCCACAGTTGCATTTGTGTTAGCAGTGAAAGTATGTAAATGTCCTCTGGTGAACTCTTTCAACAACTGGGTTTACATGAAACTCAATACAGTCATGATCCCAGGATGATAAATAACGATAATATAGTTGGGCAGCTGTGTTTTTATGATCATGTTTCATAAAATGTTTGTACATGAGAGAAAACAAACACATTTAATCAAGAAGCACTTGAAGGAAGTTCCCCTTAAGAGGCAGAATATCACAACTATGTGACATGTACATATGAAACTCTGACTATTCTTATGTAATGGTCTCATGGATGTTGGAACTAAAATACTGCTTTATTAATCATGGTTTAAAAGTGTCTATTTCCAGTGAAAGAATGAAGCCCATTGATTAGTTATTGATCATAGAGTTTCTCTGCCACATCATTGTATTGAATCATCCTCGGACTGAATCACTTGCACACTGGTGCAGGATTTCTTTTAGGAGTGGAGTAAAAGTAACGTTCCTTGAATGTACTGATAACAGTATATATTGTTCTTGTCGTTTATTAGACCAAAATGCAGGTGGACCAGGAAGGCCAAAGCCAGGGGGACCAGCAGAGCGAGGACAACAGTTCCAGCAGTAAGGTCAGTTGGACAAGAAATGTTAGGCAAGGATCTTAATACTTTTAATTCAGAGGGAATTAATTAATGCAGTGGCATCAGTTGACATTATCCATAACATGAATATTAATTGATCTTGAAAAAGATTTGAATTACCCTTAAAGAAGATTGTTTTGTGAACTGCCCCGTCTGTTGTAACGGTGACATTACAAAAGAAGTCGCATTAAAACTACAGCAGAAAAAATGGAACAGTGATTTCATGTCTCTAAATCCAGGAAGAGCTATCTGGGGAGAAGCAGGACCCAGCAGCGGGGGGAAGCAAACCCAAAGTCAAGGCGAAGAGTATTGATCTGCCCATCGTAGCCAACAACATTCGACAGCTCGAGAGCGATGTCCTAAACAACTTTGTCGAGTATGAGGTTGGTACTTCTTCTGGCCTTTAGAAAAGCTGAGTCATTGTCTGTTTGAAATGCTGATTACCTGAGCAAGATTGTGGCTTGCACTTCTAGTCACTTTATTCTGACATTTCCAAAACAATGAACGACCCATGAAGGAGCCCCTGATTGTTCAATGCTTACTTATCAGCAACATCTGCCACAGCATGATTAAAGGGTTATGTTGTATTAATTCAAATTGTCCATTCTTATGTGATTCTGTCATAACTTATCAACTGTTTTTGTTGGCTCTCCTTGTTTGTGACGTCTTTTGGATATGTTTTCCCATTACAGCGTCAGATGGTCATCCAGGACAAACTGGTTAAAGAGCTGAATGATGCTAAAAATGCTGTGGAGGAGTATGTATACGACCTACGGGACAAACTCTGTGGGATCTATGAAAAGTATATCACTGAGGAAGTGAGTGCTGCTCTCTTACATACCTGTGCTACTATTGCAAGGCTGCTATAAATGTGAGAAGCAAATGATCGACACTAACTACAACCATTACTAACAGGACAGTAACCGGCTGACACTGATGCTAGAGGACACAGAGAACTGGCTGTATGAGGAGGGAGAGGACCAACCCAAACCAGTCTATGAGGAGAAACTTCAAGCACTAAAGGTTTGATCTGATTTAAAAACTAACTTGGCTGTACTTGTGCCTAACCCTCACTGATCAACATCAATTCTGCTGATTTCCAGAGGTTTGGTCAGCCCATTCAGGACCGGCACAGAGAGCATGAGGACAGGCCGAGAGCTTTTGAAGAGTTGGGAAAGAAACTGCAGCTCTACATGAAGTTTGTGGATTGTTTTAAACAAAAGGTACATCATTTTGATCTCGAGATGGGATGTCTTATCGTTTTTTTGTGCCAAAAAAATAAAGTATGGAAACATGCAGATTAAACATTGTGTTTTTGTTTTTTAAGTACAATTTAGGGGTTTTGTAGAGTTCTTCATAAGCATGTCTATGTCTGTCTATGAACGCTGGTAGTCATCAGGGTACGACAAAGTGCCAGTTATGTGAAAAGGAAAAGCTATTTGAGATTTCTCTACCTGTGTGATTTAACACACTTACGTAACTATTACTACTGTAAACGTCTGTGTCATGTTTGAGTAATTTCCTTGTCACAAACTACTCCCTAGGATGAACGATACCAGCATTTGACTGCAGAGGAAACGAGCACTGTGGAAAATGTGTGAGTGAAACATGGGCTGGATGAACAGCAAGATGAACGCGCAGAGCAAACTTGTATAACTCAGGACCC